TAGCCTTGAGCTGAAGAGCTGAGGGACAGCGCCCAAGCCCAGAGTTCAAGCCCCACGACCGACAAAAACAAAAAACAAAAAAAAAAAAAAAAACAGGGGAGATTTCAATATTACATCTCCATATGTGTTTCTTTGTAACTAATTTCTAACCTGGCAGCCTATGACCAATCACAAACTGATTTCATTTACCTGAAGTCTGCTGAGACTTGTTTATTGGCCTGGATGGTTGATAAATTTTTCCAGGGTACTTAAATGTTTATTTAGATTTATAGCTCAGGCTTTGACAAAGTAACTTGCAGCAAAATTGGCCCTCTTCCTTGCCAAAAGCTACTGTAAACGCAGGACCAAATATATACATGAACAGCTTTAAAGCACTGGAAATAACCAATGTGGGTGAGATTTGAGAAAGACAATTCCTAAATGCAGAAAACAACATCAGGCCCACACTCACTCACTGTGATATTTATCTCAACACATGAGGGGTTCGGAGTGCAGGGGAACTGGGTCTTAGGGGGAAAAACCAAACAAAACAAAAAAACACATTCCTGGTGGGCTGAAAGAGACTGGAGTTCAGGGAGTCCAAAACAACTGGGACTTCAGAGGAGGAACAGAGAAGAAACCAAGCAGTCTGTATTCACTCTCCCCAAAGAGGTCTGACAACTGCTCAGCTTTGCGTACACAAGGCAGGACTCCAAGAACCCAGCAGAAAGTAGCAGCTGGGAAGCAAGTGAGCAGAGCAGACCCCAAGGTGATCATTAGAATTCAAGGATGCAGTGGACTCTGCAAATACCCCAAGCTTCAACTGACACCCGAAGAGGAATAAAGACAAAACTGCAACACATCAACCTTAATACAACTTCAAAGGGAACGTTCAAAGGATTAGGATGATCTGCTTATTCTCCATCATCTAACCAGACTGGAAATGCTTTTTAAAATATAAGCTTTTTAAAAGATGTCTCCTAAACATTCAGTTAAAAACAGACAAACACCAGTGGCTCATGTCTGTAATCATGGTTCAAAGCCAGCCCAGGCAAGAAAGTCCACGAGATTCTCTCTCCAATTAATGAGTAAAGAGCTGGGAGTGGAGCTGTAGATTAAGTAAATCAAGTGGTAGAGCTCTAGCTCTATCACTTTTGTGAAAAAGCTCAGGAACAACACCCAGGCCCTGAGTCAAGCCCTAAGACCAGCCCAAAACAAAACAAAAACAGAAAAGCTTGGTGCTGATGGTTCATGCCTATAATCCTAGCTGCTCAGGAGGCTGAGATTCACAGTTCAAAGTCAGTTAGGGTAGACAAATCTGAGAGACTCTTCTCTCCAATTAGTCAGCAAGAAGCTGGAACTAGAAATGTGGTACCAGTAGTAAAGGGCTAGCCTTGAAAAAAAAAAAAAAATACTGAGCTGGGTGCCAGTGGCTCACACCTATAATCCTAGCTACTGAGGAGGCTGAGATCTGAGAATCACGGTTCAAAGCCAGCCCAGGCAGAAAAGTCCATGAAACTCATCTCCAATTAACCACCAGAAAACCAGAAGTGGTGCTGTAGCTCAAGCAGTAGAGCGTTTGCCTTGATCTGAAGAGCACAGGGATAGCGCCCAAGCCTAGAGTTCAAGCCCCACAACCGACAAAAAAAAAACCTGAGAGCATAAAGCCCAAAGTTCAAGCCCCAGTACTAACACACACAAAAAAAGGAAAACGCTGAGACAAATAAGGTATTATTTTACCCTATCATCAAAAAGACAAGAAATAACAAATACTAGTAAGAAAGTAAAGAAATAAGAGCTCTTACTATAGAAATGTAAATTACTATGATAAACAGTATGGAGATTCCTCAACAAACTTAAAATAGAGCTATTACTGGGTCTATACCCAAAGGAAATCTTTCTACCAAAAATGTATTTGTACATCCCAAAATATTTATTGTATCATATCCACAATAGTCAAAATATGGAATTAACACAGATGGTTTTTAGCAGATGAATAGATAAAGAAAATGTATAATATTTACACAGCGAAGTTCTACCACATGCAGCATGGATGGAAATGGAGATCATTATGTTAAGCAAAGACATACAGAAGATCAAAAACACATGTTTTCACACATCCATGGAAAAGAACCAGTTAACCTTGTAGAACAGAATTCCACAAGGCATGCAGGCTCTCTCTGGAGGCAGAAGCAAAGGTTTACAAGCTTAAGGCCACACTAGAATATAGCGCCTTCAAATCATGTGTATGTGTAAGCAAACATAATTAGAATTATTAAATCTTTTGGCTAAGCTGGACACTGGTGGTTCATTCTAGAAAAGGCTGACATCTAGCCGGGCGCCGGTGGCTCACTCCTGTAATCCTAGCTACTCAGAGGCTGAGATCTGAGGATCAAGGTTCAAAGCCAGCCCGGGCAGCAAAGTCCATGAGACTCTTATCTCCAATAAACCACTAGAAAACCGGAAGTTTTCTAGTGGTTTATTTTCTAGTGGCTCAAGTGGTAGAGCACTTGCCTTGAGCTGAGGAGCACAGGGACAGCGCCCAGGCCCAGAGTTCAAGCCCCACGACCAACCAAAAAAAAAAGGCTGAGATCTAAGGATCATGGTTCAGGACTACTTCAGATAGGAAAGTTCCTGAGAATCTTATGTCCAATTAACCAGCAAAAAGCCAAAAGTGGAGGTGTGGGGAGATCTGAGGTTCACAGTTCAAAGCCAGCCAGGGTAGACAAATCTGAGACTCTTATCTCCAATTAATCAGCAAGAAGCTGCAACTGGAAATGTAGCTTGAGTAGTACAGGACCAGCCTTGAGCAAAAAAGACAACTGAGAGCATAAAGCCCGGAGTACAAGCCCCCAGCACAAAAAAAGAAAAGAAAAAGAAAAACTCTGAGACAAGTAAGATCTCAACTAGTAGAATGTCAGCCCTGAGTGAAAAAGCTACAAGACAATGTCAAAGCCCTGAGCTCAAGCTCTAGTTCTCTCTCCGTCTCTTCCTCTTCCTCGTCCTCGTCCTCTTCCTCTTGCTCTCTCTCTCTCTCTCACACACATACACACACATACACATACACACACACACACACACACACACACACACACACACACACACACACACATATATTCTCTTGGCTATACTGTTTAAAAATCTGTTCTGTTGAATTGACACTTTTAATTGTTAAGAAATATCTGTAGCCCGGCGCCGGTGGCTCACGCCAGTAATCCTAGCTACTCAGGAGGCTGAGATCTGAAGATCACAGATAAAGCCAGCCCAGGCAGGAATGTCCCTGAGACTCTTACCTCCAATTAACCACTCAGAAAATTGGAAGTACTTCTGGGGCTCAAGTGGTAGAACACTCACCTTGAACTGAAGAGTGCAAGGACAGTGCCCAGGCCCAGAGTTCAAGTCCCATGACCGACAAAAAAAGAAAGGAAGGAAGGAAGGAAGGAAGGGAGGGAGGGAGGAAGGGAAGAAGGGAGGGAGGGAGGGAGGGAGGGAGGGAGGGAGAGAAATATCTGCAAAGCCTGTCAATAACTCATACCTGTAATCCTAGCTACTTAGGAGGCTGAGATCTGAGGATCAAGATTTGAAGGCAAAACAGGAAAGTCTGTGAGACTCTTATCTCCAGTGAACCACCAGAAAACCAGAAGTGGAGGTATGGCTCAAAGTGGTACACTGCTAGCTGAGAGTGCAAAAGCAAAGGAATATATCTAGGCCCAAGTTCAAGCCCCCAATACTGGCAGAAAAAAAAAACACGTTGATTTGAGGCCACTTGCCATTTTTGCGGGCAGTCCTCTGCACCGGCACAGGTGGGCAGGGTGGAGCAGGCGCAACATCTGAGGAAGCAGCAGAGCCTGTGTGATGAGCCTTTACCTTGTCAGCCCAACTGACGCCTGTCGGCGCCAGACGTGGGGCGGCCACAGTGCCAGGTGGACCCCTGTAATTATCCACACATACAAACACGTTACATTTTAAATCAGCTATGTGTCTGTGTCTACGTTTACAGACTAATCCATTATCACTGCCATTTTAGTTCATGAGACCCATAACTATCTCGATCTAATGCTACACTAATTTTTTTATGATTTATACTAATGTATGAGGATAAAGATAATATAAAAGCCATTTAAAAATAGAATTCACAAAGGGTGCCAGTGCCTCACACCTCTAAACCTAACTACCCAGGAAGCTGGTTTCTGAGGATCACAGTTTGAAGCCAGCCTGGGCAGGAAAGCCTGGGAGAGTCTTCTGCACTAAATAACTTGAAAAAAAAAGCTGGAAGTGCAATTGTGGCTCAAGTGGTATAGCACTAGCCTTGAGCAGAAGTATCTCAGGGACAGCACCCAGGCCCTGAGTTCAAGCCCCCGTACTGACACCAAAAAATAAATTAAAAAAAAAAAAACAGCTCATACTGATCAAGATCCATTGTACTGCTGAGCACTGGTGGCTCACACCTGTAATACTAGCTACTCAGGAGGCTGAGGTCTGAGGATCGAGGTTCAAAGTCAGCCCAGGCAAGAAAGTCTGTGAGACTCTTAGCTCTAATTAACCACAAAATGATAGAGTGCCAGCCTTGAACAAGAAAGCTCAGGGACAAAGCCCAGACTCCAAGTTCAAGCCCTAGTACCAAAACAAAAACAAACAAAAAGACTCCAACGTGATGTTGGAAATCAAAAAGTCTACACAGAAGGGCAGGCTATCTACATAGTAAAAAGCCCTAGTCAACCAAGCTTTCCCCCCTGTAGCTTGCAACTGTCAAGAAGAACTACCAAGAATGCAACATCACACGAGGAGGAACTGCCAGAAGAACAGCTAGGCATTGTCCCTGTGCCCTTAGAACAGCTGGTCCAGCACCATGTGCACTCAACAATCTAAAACAGAGTGGAGTGCTTCTAGCTCTGGAGAGAAAAGGGCTGCAGACGAGACATTTGACATGAGCGCTTTCCTGAATCTTGAGAGAAAAGTCTGCCATGGATCCCTAGGCTTTGGTTGGTTCTTCTTGCCTATATGATTATTTAATCAGAATATAAACAGAGCCTAAAGACATAAAGAACACCAGCAAAAATACTGACGGGTATACAGTGGGATTCTGAGAGGAGAGAAAGGACTGAAAGAGTATTTTAAGAAGTAACTTGCAAAAATTTGCTGAACTTAATGAAAAAGAATAATCTGCACATTTGGGCAGGTGCTTTGTCTTACCAGTCACATACTGCAGCACGGGAGTTTGTATAAATCCTTCTACCAGATCTAGAAGCTAAGCAGAAGCTAGGAGGTGTTTCTAGTCGTCCCCTGAGGTTGCTAACTGGATTATTCCCTACTTAGCATTAGTGGGTGTGGCATTCCCTCCTCTCCAGGTTTGATACCTGAGTGTGGGTCTGCGCTTAACATACAAGGGGATATATGGATATTTTTGCAGTAAGCTATCAGTTACAATGCTACAACTGTTAATCAATAGAAGACAATTTACTGTAATATAGAGTGGTTTTTTTAGTTCACCTCACCCAAAATTTAAGCTTCTTCGAGCACTGGATGGCACATTTATTCTGTCTGTTGATGGGCTGGGAATCACATGGCGTCCTGGAGACATCTTCTTGACCTCCCATGCCAGTGATGTTGGTCTGCCAATTTAAGACATGAAGCAGATTAATTAGGAAGAAAATGGGAAATTGACTAACCTTCCCTCTTGGTAGCTGATGAGTAATTTCTAGAAACAAGGAGAGATCACAATGATACACTGCCCAGGATTTTCCCCACAGGGCAGCAGAGCAACAGAACTCTATCTACCACCAAAGTGTTAGATACACTTCTGAGCTACAGGTCTCCACACACCCAGCTAAAAACCATTTGAAAGGCAACAGTAAGCCAGGTGTCAGTGGCTCACATCTATCATCCTAGCTACTCAGAAGGCTGAGATCTGAGGATCATGGTTGAAAGCCAGCCTGGGCAGGAAAAGTCTGTAAGACTCTTATCGCCAATTAACCACCAAAAAGCTAAAAGTGGAACTACAGCTGAAGTGAATGCCAGCCTTGAACAAAAAAGTCAAGGACAGTGCTCAGGCCTTGAGTTCAAGCCCCAGAACCAACAAGGCAACAGTATTCATTCAGACTACCTTTTGCTGATGTCCAAGAGAATTTAGCTTGTGGGAAAAGGATCAAAACAGAAGGAAGGGGGCTGGGAAGGTGGCTCAGTGGCAGAGTGCTTGCTTCACATGCACGAGGCCCTGGGTTCGATTCCTTAGCACCACATAAACGGAAAAAATCCAGAAGTAGCACTGTGGCTCAAGGAGAAGAGCACTAGCCGTGAGCTGAAGAGCTTAGGGACAGTGCCCAGGCCTAGAATTCAAGCCCCACAACCGACAAAAAAAAAAAAAAACAGAAAGAAAATGGCAGCAGTGAAATTTCGAATACATGAGGAAAACATAAATTCTCTTCTGCTTAATGGCCCATGATGGGGGAAGCAAAAAGGCTTCATGGCTGAGGCATGGAACTGCTCACTGCTATACCTTCTTCACTGCCCCAAACCAACCAGGTGTCTGGATCCACACTCTACTGAAATGTGCTCCTTACAAGGCCTCTCCCTTCCTCCACCCTCAGTCACATCAAGTCTCTCCTACACTGATCTCCCAGCAGTGATTCTCCATTCTAGCTAATGACTGAGGCTTTTTTCATTAAAAAAAGTGATAAACAGCAGGATAGTCTGATAAAATACTATTCAAAAGTCTAAGCTGGGGCTGGGAAGGTAGCTCAGTGGTAGAGCGCTTGCCTTGCATGCATGAGGTCCTGAGTTCGATTCCTCAGCACCACATAAGCAAAAAGAAAAAAGCCGGAAGTGGCGCTGTGGCTCAAGTGGTGCTAGCCTTGAGCTGAAGAGCTGAGGGACAGCGCCCAGGCCCAGAGTTCAGGCCCCACGACTGGACCAAAAAAAAAGTCTAAGCAATGCCAGGCGCCAGTGGCTCACGCCTATAATCCTAGCTATTGAAGAGGCTGAGATCTGAAGATCGTGGTTCAAGGCCACCCTGAGCAGGAAAGTCCATGAGACTCTTACCCTCAATAAACGATTCAGAAAAAACCAGAAGTGGTGCTGCAGCTCAAGTGGTAGAGCACTAGCCTTGAGAAGAAAGGAGTTGGGAACAGCGCCCAGGCCCAGAGTTCAAGCCCCAGGACCAGCAAAAAAAAAAAAAGTCTAAAGCAACTGAACACTGGTAGCTCACACCTGTAATCCTATCTACTCAGAAAGCTGAGACCTGAGGATCATGGTTCAGTTAGCCTGGGCAGAAAAAGTCTGTGAGTCTCTTATCTCCAATTAACCAGCAAAAAGTCAGAGCTGAGAGTGCCCGGGCCTTACATTCAAGCCCCAGGAGCAACACACACACACGCACGCACGCACACACGCACGCACGCACGCACGCACACACGCACGCACGCACGCAAGCGCACGCTCCCCCTCTAAAGATCTTTGACAACTTATTGTCAAATGACTTTTTTGACAGACTATAACAAATTATACTCACAGATGAAAAGTATCCATTCCTATTCAACCTTGAAAACAGTTGCTATCTTCTTTTAAAAAGATGTTACTGTCAAAATGCCATTTCATTGTCTTTAGTAGTTAAGGCTGAGTGTTACTCATTGTTTGAATTTTTTCTTTTCCTTTCCTTTTTTTTTAAAGGCCAGATTAAAGTTTTCACTCAAGGCTTCACACTTGCTGGACAAGTGCTCTACCACTTTAGCCATGACCCTAACTTTTCTTGCTTTATGTTTCAGATAGGGTCACACATTTTTCTTGGCACCAGCCAGGAACCATGATTCTTAGATCTTCACCTGCCCAGCAGGTGGATGACAAGCATGTATCACCATGCTCAACTTTTTCTTTAAGACAGGATTGTAATGATTCTTTTTTTTTCTTCTGGATTGAGCTTTTCTGAAACCAAATCTTCCTATCTTTGCCTCCTGAGTAAGATTACAGGCATGCATCCTCACACCTGAACTTTTTCTTTTAGGGTTCTCATACTGGTATCTTTGGCTCTCTTTTTCCCCCCACTGGTGTTTATATCATTTTCTCACTTATATAAAGTAGTTTAACTTTAATTTTTTTATTTTTAATTTTTTATGTAGACAAGCTCCTTTTCTTCTTCTTAGAACAAGTAAATCTATTTCTTTTGCAGCATCTTCCTCTCTCATACAAAATCCTCACTCATACTATAATTATAAAAATGATTGTCAATATTTTTTTTTTGGTGGGTCATGGGGCTTAAACTCTAGGCCTGGGAGCTGTCCCTGCACTCTTCAGTTCAAAGCGAGCAGTCTACCACTTGAGCCACAGCGCCACTTGCCGTTTTCTAGTGGTTTATTGGAGATAGTCTCACGGACTTTCCTGCCCCGGCTGGCTTTGAACTGCGATCCTCAGATCTCAGCCTCCTGAGTAGCTAGGATTACAGGTGTGAGCCACGGGTGCCCAGCTTCAATATTTTATTTTAAAATGTGCAACTTCAGTTTCTAACCTTTACAACTCAAGTGTAGCTGAAATAGTTTTCATGAATCAACCAGATTGTAAGATGAACAACGCCATCTACAGGAATTCTCATATAGTTTTCATCTGGGAGCTGCCGCAAGAGGCAAAGAAATGCTCATAACTGGCTAGGGAGGGGAGAGGGAGAGGGAGAAGGAGGGGGGAAGACAGAAAGAAAGTCAGAGGGAAAGAGGAAAGGAGGGAGGGGGGAGAGGGGGAGAGAGAGAGAGAGAGAGAGAGAGAAGGTAGAGGGGAAAGGGGAGGGGGAAAGGGGAGAAGGAAAGTGCTGGGACCCATAGCTCATGCCTTTAATCCTAGCTACTTAGGAGGCTGAGTTCTGAGGATCAAGGTTTGAAGCCAGTCTGGCAGGAAAGTATGTAAGACTCTTATCTCCAATTAACCCTGCCATCACCCCCCCTAGAAAGAGTGGAGCTGTGTCCAATCCAGTGAAGGAAAGCTCCCCCAATCACCTGTCACCTACAGGTAGGGGTGAAACTGCTAGATACGAAGAAACCAAGGTCTCAGCCACCCATGGACCATGGAAGAAACAGAAAAACAACATATGTTAAAAGTTCTCACCATGAAGAATAAAAGCATCAACATATCACAGCTGAGCTGCCCTGGATTTGGTTTCCCAGGGAAATAGCTCTCAAGTTTGCTCTCTTGGTTCTTCGGTTCCTAACTGGTGCCGGTCTTGGGCCTTGAACTCAGGGCCTGGGTACTTTCCCTGAACTTCATTTTTTGCTCAAGGCTAGCACTCTTTCACTTGAGCCATACCTCCACTTCTGGCTTTTTTGTTGGTTAACTGGAGAGAACAATCTCACAGACTTTCCTGCCTGGGCTGACTTCAAACCAAGATCCAGGATTACAGGCATGAGCCTCTGGTGCCTGGTTTAAGGTTCATTTTGTTTTTTGTTTTGCTTTGTCTAAGGCATCAGGCACCCTATTCAGGAGGGCACCACCCTTAAGATTCAATCACTTCTGACAGACCCCACAACTCTCTATGCTTGCTCATCAGTAAGTTTTATGAACTTAGGAAGGTCACATTCATACTACAGCAGGCATTATACTTCCTGAGAGCAAGTTTTGTGTCCATGAGGTCAAGTTTGTTGTTGATTTCAATGACTGCTATGGAAACTGCTGGTTATCACAGATAAACCCCAGAACTCATTACCTGCTTTGGGCATCTGTCTTCTCTAGCTTCTCCTGGAGTTGAATCCAGTCAATCAGTGCTTTGAAGTCTCTCACATAGTAATCCAGCATCATCAATACTTCCTTAGTTAAATAAAAATAAAAAAAATTATTTCCACTCTCAGAATAAAAAGCTTCAAGAAAAAAATTATTAATACAAATTAATATTTTTGACATTAAACTCAATGAAGACAGTGTATAAATAACTTGATCTAGTTTTCTTTTTCTTTTTTTTTTTGCTGGTACTGGAGCTTGAACTCAGGGCCTGGGCACTGTCCTTGATCCTCTCTGTGCTCAAGGCTAGCACTCTACCACTTCAGCCACAGCACCACTTCTGGCTTTTTCTGTTTATGTAGTGCTAAGGAATCAAATAAAGGGCCTCATGCATGCGAGGCAAGCACTCTACCATTGAGCCACCTTGCCAGCCCTAGTTTTAATTCTTTCCATTTTCAATGTTTCATAGGGTAAGTGTATGAGGTCCAAGTTCAAAGACTAAGAAATGGCACTGACATGCTTTTTCAAGACATCTCTGGGCTGGGTGCCAGTGGTTCACATCTGTCATCCTAGCTTCACAGGAGGCTGATATCTGTGGATCAGGGTTCAAAGTCAGCCAGGACAGTACAATCCATGAGACTCTTATCTACAATTAATCCCCAGAAAACTGGAAGTAGCGCTGTGGCTCAAAGTGGTAGAGCACTTGCCTTGAGTGAAAGAGCTCAGAGACAGCACCCAGGCCCTGAGTTCAAGCCCAACAACAACAATAACAACAACAACAAGACCTTCCTGAATATTCTCCCTTTCATCTAATAGTAAAGATGACATATAAAAGAGTACATAAGGGGCTGGGAAGGTGGCTCAGTGGCAGAGCGCTTGCCTTGCATGCATGAGGCCCTGGGTTCAATTCCTCAGCACCACATAAGCAAAAAGAAAAAAGCCGGAAGTGGCACTGTGGCTCAAGTGGTAGAGAGTTAGCCTTGAGCTGAAGAGCTGAGGGATAGCACCCAGGCCCAGAGTTCAGGCCCCACAACCGACCGGACTCAAAAAAAAGAGTACATAAAACATACAAATACAGATAATTATCACAAAGAAAAAAAAACATGTAAATGCCCCAAATACACAAAACAGAAAAAGATACAATTATTGCTAAGACTTTTGTACACATCCCAGAGGCTCAGGAGTCAGGGATCAGGAGGATCAAGTTTCAAGACCAGTTAGGGCACAAACTTCCCAAAGACCTCCATCTCAAACAATAAAAAGCCATGGGGGAGGATGGGAAGGGATGGGAAGGGGAAACAAAGGAGGAGGCTACAATGCTTGATAAGAAATGTACTCATTATCTTGCCCATGTAATTGTAACCCCTCTGTACAGCATTTTCACAATAAAAAAATAAAAATAAACAAAACAAAAAACAATAAAAAGCCAGGCATGTGTCTGGCATCTCAGCAAAGCGAGAAATAAGAGGATGGCAATCCAGTCCAGGCACAAAAGTGAGACCCTATTCAAAAACTAATGAAAGCAAAATGCACTGACAGAGTGGCTCAAGTGGCAGAGCACCTGCCCCTGGAGGCACAATATCCTAAGTAGTTCAACTCCAGTACTGGAAAAAAAAAAAGTTCAGGCTGGTGAGGGCATAAAGAGACCCTATCTCAACAATAATCAATTGGGGGAGGGGAGGCCAGCCAAGAACCTAAGTTCATACCCCAATACCACCAAAATCAACTGATAATGTGACTGTGTAAGTTAAGTACTGCTCCATCAGCCAAAGCTGTCAGTCACATGCATAAGGTATGAGACAAAGAAACTGAAATTGCACACACCCATCTCACCTCATCATAAAGACACAGCAGGCTCATTTTACCATAATGACTATTTTCCAAAACTCTCAGAAAACACCAGTCAGTTATATGATCAGTATAATCACTTGCAAACCAGTATGATCACTTGAAAAATAATTACTTTTCCATAACTACTGCAGAATCAGCAGCAAAGACCACCATACAGAAGTAGGTATAGTTTAGGCATAAGACCCATGACTATTAATTTATGCCAACTTATTCCCAAATGAAAAATGGTACCACCATTACTTATTACAAAAATTATATTCTGAGCCAGACACCAGTGGCTCATCTCTGCAATCCTAGCTACTCAGAAGGCTGAGATCTGTAAGATCAAGGTTCAAGGGCAGTCTGGGGAGAAAAGCTCATCTAGACTCCATCTCCAAAATAACCAGCAGAAAGCCACGCTGGAGGGCATGGCTCACATGGTAGAATGTCAGCCTAGCAGCAAAACCCTAGAAAACATCTAGAAATGCTGAAAACAATTTTTTAAGTTATATTCGACATTAAAATACTTCTGAACGGGGCTGGGAAGGTGGCTCAGTGGCTCGATTCCCCAGCACCACATAAGCAAAAAGAAAAAAGCTGGAAGTGGCGCTATGGCTCAAGTGGTAGAGTGCTAGCCTTGAGCTGAAGAGCTGAGGGACAGCGCCCAGGCTGAGTTCAGGCCCCACGACTGGACCCAAAAAAATAAATAAATAAAATAAAATACTTCTGAACAAAGAAGTATTGTTTTTTTAATTTTTTCCTTTCAATGATGATCCTTGGTGCCAAATCACTGGTAATAAAAGTCTTACACAATCAGGAAAAGGACAAATTAAAAACCTGACTTAGCTTCCTTCTCTCAATTCAAATGGTCTAATTCAATTCATTCAACTTTAAACCACGAACATTAGGGCACAGATAGACTTAATTTGGAATAATTTATTTTAGGAATTTTCAACTGATTTCCCTTCTTGCTTTAAAGAAAAAACAAAACAAAACAAAACTCCTCTTCGGAGTCTCTAAGCAGCTATGCTTCTGATACTAATTGGCACAGAGAAAGTAGATTGGGTGGTTTGAACAGCCTATTTCAAGGAATGTTTATGATCAGCGCAGTAGCAGGCAGCTGTAATCTGAGCCGTGTTTGAGGAACAGGGGAATACAAACAAGACAAGCAGCTGGGGGAACCCGGCAGTCACTGATGCAAATCTTTCTTCTAAAGCGAGGAAGGCCATTTTGTCAAGCAGGATGGAACAGAACAAAAGTGCCTCTGAAAGGAATGGTACAGGCATTCAGATAACTACATATAGATGTACAGCTACAATTACCAATTCGTTTACCAATTGGCTGCAACGGATTCGATTAGTTTGTAATTAATTCTAGTTACCGGCACAGAGAGCAGGATGCTTGGCGCCATCCCTTTGTCCCGCCGATACCCAATACGAGTGCACGGACCCGAGGGCCCAACACGTCAATACGGCCCTGCCATTCAGCTCAGCATAGGGCACAGCACTGTGCCCTGTGCTGATGGAGGGGTAGAGATGTGCGCCCTGTGATAAGTCAAAGACAAAGGGGAAATTCATGCAAAAAAAAAAAAAAAAGAAAATTGTACAAATTACTACTGTGTGCATGCGTGTGCCAGTACTTGAACTCTGGGCCTGGACACTGTCCCTTGGCTGTTTCACTCAAAGCTTTCATTCTACCACTTAAGTCATAGCTCCACTTTCAATTTTTTGGTGGTTAATTGCAGCTAAAGAGTCTCTTGGACTTTCCTGCCTAAACTGGCTTGGAACTTTGAGCCTCGGATCTCATCCCCCTGAACAGCTGGGATTAGAGGAATGAGCCACCTACTCCCAGCTCAAAACAACTTTCAACCAAAGCTTTCACAAAACAGGAAAGGACATAATTAAATGAGAGCAAAGAAAAAAAGCAGTCTTCAAATCCAAAAAAAGGCGTGTCAATTTTAGTGTAAGGATCAAAGAAGCAGGGTGCCAGTGGCTTACAACTATAATTCTATCTACTTAGGAGGCTGAGAGCTGAGGATCAGAGTTCAAAGCTAGCACAAGCAGGAAAGTCCCCATGAGAATCGTATCTCCAATTAACCACCAAAAATCCAGAAGTGGCATTGTGGCTCAAAGTGATAGAGCTCTAGCCTTAAGTTCAAGAGATCAGGGACAACAGCCAGGCCCTGAGTTTAAGCCCCATGACCCACAAAAAAAAAAAAAAAAAGGGACCAAAGGAATCATTTTGTATTAACAGTGATAAAATAAAAAGCATATAGGAGCTGGGCACTGGTGGCTCACAGCTGTAAATCCTAGCTAGTCTGGAGGCTGAGATCTGAGGATCGTGGTTCAAAGCTAGTCTGGGCAGAAAAGTTCCCATGAAACTCTTATCTCCAATTAACCACTCAAAAACTGCAAGTGGCATTATGGCTCAAGTAGTAGAGAGCTAGTCTTGAGCACAATGAGATAGTGCATAGGCCCTGAGTTCAAGCCCCACAACCGAAAGTAAAACAAGTGAGAGAAATGCTCAAGTCAAACATAGCAAAGCCCACGCACCTAACTTGAAGTAGATTACAGGTCCAGAGCAGCCCTTACCTTGCATTCCACCACACTCTGATCTGATTCACAAGTCACATAGATTTCATCTACAGCCCGCCGAAGATTGTCAAAAAGGAATGCCCAGTAGCGAGCTCGCAGATCAATTTTCCGAGGATGCCTGGCCTTGGTAGGACTTTTGTCAAAGTGTTTATCTCCAGTTGTGGATGTTATTTTACAGTCTCCTGCGGTATTCTGGTGAGATAAAACATGGAAGAAGAAGAAGAAAAAAACAGATCAAATGATGAAAGGGGTAACATTGATCAAGATTCTTTGTATTCATATTCTACTTCACTGAATGGCAACTCCTTTGTACAATTACTTAAAAAATAAAAATTAAAAATAAATTTTTAAAAAGTTTAAAAGATTTAAAGAAGCCAGTACCAGCGAGTCACATCTGTAATTCTAGCTACTCAGGAAGCTAAGATCTGAGAATTGTAGTTCAAAGCCAGCCTGGGCAGGAAACTGAGTGAGACTCTTTGTTTTTTTTTGTTTTTTGTTTTTTTCTGGGGTCCGGTTGTGGGGCCTGAACTCTGGGCCTGGGCGCTGTCCCTCAGCTCTTCAGCTCAAGGCTAGCCTAGCTCTACCACTTGAGCCACAGCGCCACTTCCGGCTTTTTTCTTTTTGCTTATGTGGTGCTGAGGAATCGAACCCAGGGCCTCATGCATACAAGGCAAGCACTCTACCACTGAGCCACCTTCCCAGCCAGTGAGTTAGACTCTTATCTCTAATAAACTACTCAGAAGTAAGAGGTATGGCTCAAGGTACAGCACTACTAGCCTTGAGTCAAAAAAACTCAGAGACAGCATGCAGGCCAATTTCTTTTTTTTTTTTTTTTGGTCCGGTAGTGGGGCCTGAACTCTGGGCCTGGGTGCTGTCCCCCAGCTCTTCAGCTCAAGGCTAGCGCTCTGTCACTTGAGCCACAGCGCCACTTCCGGCTTTTTTCTTTTTGCTTATGTGGTGCTGAGGAATTGAACCCAGGGCCTCATGCATGCAAGGCAAGTGCTCTACCACTGAGCCACCTTCCCAGCCCCATGCAGGCCAATTTCAAGCCCCAGGACTAGGGGGGAAAAAAAAGATCAAAAGAAAGGCTTCCAGAGATTAGATTTTTTTTGTACCAATCACATTTTTCAACATAAATACTTAGAAGAATTTTTTTCAGCTTACATCTTTATCAAAACAAATTCTTGCCTTAAACCCCAATGTAAAGGCATCATTAAATATATATGTATCACAAAGGAGAGAATATCACAAAAGGACTCAAAAATACAAAATGTACAGCAGAAGGGGCTAAAGTATACACTCTAAGATAAACTGACAGCGACAGCCTGGCTCACTGATGAACATGCTACAACACCGTTTGTTTCTTTTGTGTATGCTGGTGTTGGAACTTGATCTCAGGGTCTGGGCAATGGCCCTGAGCGTTTTTGCTCAAGGCTGGTGCTCTACCACTTGAGCCACAACTCTACTTATAGGCTTTTTGGTGGTTAATTGAAAATAAAAGAGCCTCATGGACTTTCCTGCCCAGACTAGCTTCAAACCACAATCCTCAGATCACGGCCTGGGCAATATCCCTGAGCTTCTTTTGCTCAAGGCTAGCACTCTACCACTTGAGCCACAGCCCCACTTCCAGCCTTTTCTGTTTATGTAGTACTGAGGGATTGAACCCAGGGCTTCATGCATGTTAGGCAAGCACTCTAATACTAAACCACATTCCTACTCTATAACTTAGCTCTTAAAAGAGGACAGTAATATGTCTACACAAAAGGTAATTAGAAAAATTAAAATATTTATCAAATATATAAACCTAGGCAGTGATTACAACATACAAATTTGTTAAATTTAAAAACTATACATCGTCATGTTACAATGGCCCACACCTGTAATCCTAGCTACTCGGGAGGCTGAGATCTGAGGATCACAGTTCAAAGCCAGCCCAGCCAGGAAAGGCCATGAGACTCATCTCCAATTAATCACCAAAAGTCACAAGTGAAGCTGTGGCTAAAAGCGATAAAACACTAGTCTTGAGCAGTAAAGCTCAGGAGCAGTGGCAAGCCCTGAGATCAAATCCCAGGACCAGCACCAAATAAATAAATAAATATTTAAAAACCCATATATTATGTATTTACATAGATAAAGATACACAATTCCCAAATCATGAAGTATGTGTGCTTTTTGTTGTTGTTGTTGGTACTGGGGCTTGAACTCAAGGTCTCACGCTTGATAAGCAAGTTCTCTACCACTTAAGCCACACCCCCAGCCCATTTTCTTACACTGGTTACTTTCAAGATAGGGTCTCAATTTATGCTGAGTGACTGAGAGACTTTATTCACAGGCTGGCCTTGAGCCATAATCCTACCACCTCCGCCTCCCAAATAACTGGGATTATAGGTTTTAGCCACCATGCCTGAGTCTAAAATAGCATTTTTATCATTTATAATAAACTCAGGAGTTAAAATTAAGAACAAGTGAAAAGGACTGGGAAGATGGCTCAGTGGTAGAGCGCTTGCCTTGCATGCGTGAGGCCGTGGGTTCAATTCCTCAACACCACATAAGCAAAAAAAAAGCTGGAAGTGGTGCCATGGCTCCAGTGATAGAATGCTAGCCTTGAGCTGAAGAGCTGAGGGACAGCGTCCAGGCCCAGAGTTCAGGCCCTACAACCGACAAAAACAAAACAAACAAACAAAAAAAAGAACAAGTGAAAAGCAGTATAAGCTGTACCTGTTTAGTAGTTTTATGAGCACCTTGAATGGTCCGCTTAGATTTTGCGCCTGTTTGACATTTAGGTTTTCCTTTGAGGCAAAAGGAAAAAATAGAAAATAGAAAATTAAGCTTTAGTACTTAGATGATATAATTCCAAATTATACAAATCATTCAGACATCCTAGCATGGAATTTTCAGCCATCTGGAAATCCAGAACAATAAAATATATAATCTAGTTATGGTCATGTGAACTATTGATAAAGGAAAAAAAGGGGGGCTAGGAATCTGGCTTGCCTAGCATTCATGAATCCCTAGGTTCAATATCACATAAACAATACCACATAAACAAAAAAAAAGCTGGAAGTGGCACTGTAGCTCAAGTGGTAAAGTGCTAGCCTTGAGCAAAAACACTCAACGACAGTGTCTAGGCCCTGAGTTCAAGCGCCAGGACTGGCCAAAAAAATAAGTAAATAAATAACTTCCCACATCTCCAGAGACTGCTTCTACTGAATGGCTTAGAACAAGAATGGGTCAATTTACCAAATAGGCCAGATTAAAAACATAGTCAAGTCGATTACTTCTCAATTTACAAAAAGGTCTGGAAAATACTTGCTGAAATTTTGAATTTTATTTCAGCAATAAAATTAAGACTGTAATTTTTTTTTTTTTTTTTTTGCCAATGCTGGGGCTTGAATTTAGGGCCTGGGGACTATCCCTGAGCTGCTTTTGTTCAAGGCTAGCAATCTACCACTTGAACTTCAGCACTATTTCTGGCTTTTTCTGTATATGTGGTTATGAAGAATCGAACCCAGGGCTTCACGTATGCTAGGCGAGCACACTACCAACCAGTCAGCCATATTCCCAGCCCCTTCAGACTGTATCTTAAAACCCAATATTTAAACCACTCTTAACATTATTTCTTTTTGAACCAATGAAAGAATAGTTAAGTGCTGTCTATTCTCAAACATTTACCTGTATGCTTATTAAAAATACTTTCACTTGTAAAAAAAACAAACAACTAAACCAATATTTAAGCCAGGTGTCAATGGCTCATGTCTGTAATCTTAGCTACTCAGAACAGGAGGATAGTGGCTCAAGGTATCCAAGCAGAAAGTTCTCAAGACATCTTCTTAACTCATGGCGGGGAGAGGAGGTGCAGTGCTGTGTACCCGACATTCTACTCTAAGTGGGAGGCTGAGATATGGAGGATCACGGTTCCAGGCCAGCCCCTGCTGAAAAGTCCATGAGACTCCATCTCAACAGAGGAAAGCTGCAACCATGGTACAGGCTTGCCATGCCAGCAACAGAAGAAGCCTAAAATAGGTGGATCACAATACAAGTACACACCTGGGCAGGTGCCAAAACCTATCTTAATTATAACCAGTAAAAACCAAGGCTAAAGGTATGGCTCAGCAGTAGAGTGCCTGCTTACCAAATGTGCGACCCTGTGTTCAAATCCTACTACCATGTACACACAAATTTAATTTAGGCTAGTGGCTCTGATTTTTTTTAATAGTTTCTTTTGGACATGGAAGGTCTTGGCCAGGCACTTGATGGCTCACACCTGTAATCCTAGCTACTCAGAGACTGAAATCTGAGGATCACAGTCCCACGAGTTCAAACCCAAGGAGTGGGGAGAAAAAAATATGAGACAGATGTCTCTGGAAAAAAAAAATTCAAACCTTCCTTCACCCTGCCCCCTCTCTGTACTGGTTCTAGGGTTTGAACTCAGGGCCTGGGCACTGTCCCTAACTTTTGTGCTCAAGGCTGGTACTCTACCACTTCGAGCCACAGCACCACTTCCAGTTTTCTGGTGACCAATTGGAGATAAGAGTCTCATGGACTTTCCTGCTCAGGCTTGACTTTGAACCACAATCCTCCGATCTCAGCCTCTTGAATAGCTAGGATGATAGGCGTGAGCCACCAGTGCCCAGCTCTTTCTCTCATTTTTTACACAAAAGACACTACTGTTTTATAATGACTCTATCCTTGACCTCAATTCAAGACAGGAATGAAATTCTATAATGTGTAACAGAGTAACTGTGGAAAGCAATCTGGGAGCCAGGTCCTGGAAGCTATATGGAAAATGAGTGATAACACACAGGTAGTACTTACTAACAACCTGCCCAACACAGGTGGGGCTCCCTTGCTATTCTGCCAGGAATGGAGAGAAATCTACCCTACACAGCCCTCTGCTGGTTATCAAGTTCAACCACCCTCTAGCTCAACCAATAAACATCTATACATGGTGGCCCTTACCTGTCCAGCTACACAGGAAGCATAAACAGGAGTACCCCAGCCCAGGCTGGACTTGGCAGAAGCAAGACTCGATTTGAAAACAACAAAATCCAAAAGGGATGATGATACAGGTCAAGTGGTAGAGCACCTACCTGCCTAGCAAGCACAGGGCCCTGAGTTCAAATTCCCTCCAGTACAAACAAAAACAGAGTAAATTTTTAAAAAATATTTATATTAAAAAATAGTAAAACAAGAGTGAATTTTTTTGTGGCAATGCTGAAGACTGAACTCTAGGTTTCTACCACCTCCCCATCCCAAGCAAACTCTCACTGAACCCGAACCTTCTTATGTGAGGAGGTGCTCCAAGAATGAGATGAGGAAGTGTTCAAAGAACAAGATAAAAGTGTCAAAAGGAAATAGACGCTCACAGAGTCTCCCATCAGGCAGCTCTAGAACAATCTGAACACCAAAATAAGTACACTAGTGGATTCTAAACTACTGAGTACAACATGAAGTCATGTGCATGCAAATTTAAATTCATCAATACCTATAGACAGAAAAGGGGCAGGCAGAGCTCTTCCTTACATTAGAAGGCTAGCTTATAAAAAGCAATGGATGAAGCTAGTCAATCACTAGTTCCCAATCAACAAAGTACTAACTACCTAGTAAGCACCAAAAGGAGCTAGAAGTACTGAACTGAAGAGAAACAAGGTATTTATACTCTCAAGCTGTGTGTGTAGGTGCGTGTGTGCCTGCCTGCCTATACTGAGGATTGAACTCAGAACCAAGGCATTGATCTCTCAGCTTCTTCTATCAAGGATACTGCCAGCCTCTCATGATGGACTGAGGGAGACTTTGTCTTTCTGTCATGAAACTCTACTTATAAAAGGACCACAGAGGCTGCTGTGGGAGAGACATTACAGTTACAGTCATCCCTTCAGTCCTCTAAGCAGTCCGCATAGCATCTCAAAACCAGGTCTCCCTTGGCATTCCAACCTCCATTCCCAGAAAGAGCAGTCTTACCCCACCTCGAACTGCTAAAGGAGAAGACCAAAGGATGCTATTCCTAGTTCGCAGAACAATGAGAACTAGCAAGGCTCTGATGGCTCACACCTGTGATTAGCTACTCAAGAGGCTGAGATCTGAGGATCCCTGCTCGAAGCCAGTCAGGAAAGTCCATGAGACTCTTACCTCCAATAACCACCAAAAGGCTGGAAGTGAAACTATGGCAGAGTGCTAGCCTTGAACAAAAAAAGCTCAGGGACACACCTAGGCTCTGAGTTCAAGCCCCAGGACCGGCACTGAGAGGAGAGGAGGAAGGGGGAGAGGGGGAAGGGAGAGGGAGAAAAGGAGAGAGGAAAAAGGAGAGAGAGGACAGAGGGAAAGAGGGGGAAAGTGGGAGAGAGAGGGGGAGAGAAGGAAGAGAACTAAAAAAATCTCTTGTTTTGCCAATCATTACGTTGTACCAAATCATGATAATTTTAGTATATATGTTTAAAACCTCATATTTATTTTAACTGGTACATAGCGATTGTACATATGGATGGAATACAGTATAATCATTTGTATACATGTATACAAGGGTACATACAATGTGTAATGATCAAATCAGAGTGATGAACATTACCATCGCCTTAAATTTTTATTTATCATCCTAACATTATTTAGGTTAGGAACTTTCAAACTTCTCTCTTCCAGCTTTTCAGTAGATTTTTTTCCCCTATTTTGAGAATCAAATCTGAACTTCACATTTGACTAGGCAAACACTCTACCAATAAGCTATATCCTCTCGTTTATAAAGCATGAAAAATTAATATAAATTATGTAAGAATTATAATTTTTAAAATCTTAGTGTCTCATAACTTACATAGGCTGCCAGCCAAAATAACAAACTCAATTTCATTCTTACATCAAACAGCAAAGTAACAATAACACATTTTAAACCATTTGTGTATAAAGTCAGTAAAAATCTTGGGGGATTTTTTTGGCCAGTGGTTGGGCTTGAACTCAGGGTCTGGGTGCTGAACTCTTCTGCTCAAGGCTAGCATTCTACCACTTTGAGCTACAACACCATGTTCAGTTTTTGAGTGGTTAAATGGAGGTAAGAGTCTCACAGGGACTTTCTCACCAGGCTGGCTTTGTACTGTGAGCCTCAGATCTCAGCCTCCTGAGTAGCTAGGATTACAGGCATGAGCCACTGGCTCATATACAAAATTTTATCCTATACATATTTGCCAAAGAATTCTAATTTTGAGTGCTCAGTTTGCTGTTTATTTACTCATTAAAACTAAGAGTATCCTTCTAATTTTTTTCTTTTGTTAAGCTAGGGCCTTACATTGTTACCCAGGCTAGCCTTGAATTTCTAGCAATGCACCTGCCCACCCTCCCAAGTAGCTGGGACTACAGGAATGTGCCATCATGCTTGGCTATGGTTCTAATTTGCAAGAAGATGGGACTAAACTTAATACGTACCATCATCATCTTTGCTTTCTAGGGGAACGCTCCAGGCTATTAGGTTTCTTGCTGTACGACCCTCCTCTGCAACTATTCTTCTTACTTTATCATGACTATTGGAGCGCTGGAACGAAGCCTGGTATACAAAAGAGAGTATTTATTATTAGGCATTAGTCAACATACAGAATATATTTGACAAATTTGTAATTTCCCACATTTACTCAGAGAGCAAACACTTAAATGTAGTTTGGGCTTCAAAAAATGGTTAAACCACAAAAACAACTAGGCCACAAGCCTTAGGAATACAAAGACTAACTTTACGACACTTAGACATAATGCAAAGTTTAAAAGGTGTCCAAAGAGGCAGAGTCCGCCATCAGCACAGTGTGAGCCACCAGCTCCTGGCTCTAATCACTTCTAAGATATCAATTCCTAGAAAAGGCTAGTGATAACTTCAACATGATAGTTTTTTTTTTTAACATTTTAATCTAAGTATCAGGGTTTGAAATGAGACTATATTGCTGTTGTTTCTATCCAAAGTCAGAGTGCGCCATCTAGTGTTCCAGGGAAGGTTTACATAGACATGTAAATACTACACCCTTCCATTAAGCAATAAGCAGCCATCCTGGGGAAGGTGTCCAGGTTCAAACCTGCAGTAAACACTCAAAGAAAGCAAGTAATCAAGACTAACTTTTCCGTCTTTTTTTTTCTTTTTTTTTTTCATCCATCGTGGGGCTTGAAATCTGGGCCTGGGCCCTGTCCCTTGGCTCTTGAGCTCAAGGTAGCACTCCACCACGTGAGCCATAGCGCCACTTCCGGTTTTCTAGTGGTTTATTGGAGATAAAGAGTCTCATGGGCTTTCCTGCCTGGGCTGGCTTTGAACCGTGATCTTCAGATCTCAGCCTCCTGAGTAGCTAGGATTACAAGTATGAGCCACTAGGGCCTGGAGAACTTTTCTGTCTTAAAGGAAAAAAAAATCTAAATAATTTTTATCCTAATCACTTTTCTCATTATCTTGATCTGGCGGCAAGCACTTTTGACTACATTTTTGTTTGTTTCGCCTCAAAACTTTCTACTTCATGTGGGGTGCTGGTAGCTCACACCTGTAATCCTAGCTACTCAGGAGGCTAAGATTTGAGGATTGTAGTTCAAAGCCAGCCTGGAGAAGACAAATCCAAGTGACTCTTTATGGCCAATTTAACACCAAAAAGCCAGAAATGGAGGCATGGCTCAAGTGGTAGAGAGCCATCCTTAAGTGAAAGAATCTGAAGGACAGCACCCAAGCCAAGTTCAAGCTCCAATACAGATACAAAAACATAAACTACCACACATTCTAGGCACAAAAAAACAAGACTGTGGCCCAAGAGGCTATGCAGCCTGCGGGAAGGAAGTGGGATCGCTTCAGCTGGGACATTTCAAGGCCTTACATAAAAATTTTTTAAAAAATTACTAGTCATACTAGAAAATTAGTGAAATGACTGAAAACCAGGAAAAATTAAAGAAACTTTTAGAACTATACCCAGAAATTATTGAAAAATGGAGTTATCAAAGATTTTAAATTGTAATTAAAATGACCTAAAAGATAAAAAGGCTGAAATATTCCACAGAAGACTAAAATCCTAAAAGAAATCAAATAGAAGTTGTAAATGGAGCAAGGCGCTGGTGGCTCATGCCTGCAATCCTAGCTACTCAGGAGACTGAGATCTGAGGATCAAAGTTCAAAGCCTACCCAGGCAGTGATAGTGAGATTCTTATCTCCAATGAACCACCAGAAAACTGGAAGTGGCACTCTGGCTCAAAGTGGTAGAGTGCTAGCCTTCAGTAGAAAAGCTCAGGGATAATGCCCAGGCCCTAAGTCCAAGCCCCACAACCAACAAACCAACAGAAAAAAAAAAAAGTTATGAAAGTAGCCAGGCTTATGCCTGTAATCCTAGCTACTCAAGAGGCTGAAATCTAAGGATCTCAATATAAAGCCAGTCTGGGAAGACAAATCTGTGAGACTGTTTTTTGGGGGGGGGGGGTTGTTGGTTTTTTGGTTGGTTGTGGGGCTTGAACTCTGGGCTTGGGCGCTGTCCCTGAGCTCTTCAGCTGAAGGCGAGTGCTCTACTGCTTGAGCCACAGCACCACTTCTGGTTTTCTAGTGGTTAATTGGAGATAAAGAGTCTCATGGACTTTTCTGCCCCCACTGTCTTTGAACCGTGATCCTCAGATCTCAGCCTCCTCAGTAGCTAGGTTTACAGGCGTGAGCCATGGGTGCCGGACTGTGAGATTCTTATTTCAATTAACCAGCCAGAAGTGGAGGTGTGGCTCAAATAGTAGAACCAGAGCCATTAGCAATAAAGTCAAGTGCTAGGCCCTGAGTTCAAGCCCCAGAACTGGTACATAATAATATTTATGAACATTAGATTTCCAGATTTTCATAGCTAAATTGTAGTCATAGAAGGGGATGAAAAGCTGAAGTTTTCAGGGATTGCACGGTATGTTGCCTTCACACACTCTCCAATAATTCAGAGACAAAATAGTTTATGACCAAAGATCCTCACTGGACAAAATTCTCAGAACGTAGAACATGACCTCAAATAACAAAGAAAAATCAGAACCTTAGAGCTAAAGGAAGTGGGAAGTGGGGGATAAGAAAGAACACATAGTTCATTTTCAAGATAGTGGCTCATGAATATCACTGCTGCATTTGTTCACCCTTTGTCCCATTACCCTCCCAAAGACAGATAAACAAGACAAAGGAGGAAAAAAGCAAAAAAGAGACAAAGGCAAAAAAAAAAAAAAAAGAAAGAAAAGGCTGGGTGCCAGAGGCTTATGCCTGTAATCCTAACTACTCAAAAGGCTAAGAAGATCTGAGGATCATAGTTCAAAGCCAGCCCGAGCAGGAAAGTTTGAGACTCTTAGCCCCAATAAAACTACACAGAAAAGGCTCCGTGGCTCAGGTATTGAAGCACTAGCCTTGAGCACAAAGAGGCTCAGGGACACACCCAATCCCTGAGTTCAAGCCCCAGAACTGACAAAAAAAAAAAAAACTCGTTTTCATTTCCTACAATTCACTTCACTAAATATTACTTTACATGATCAGATGCATATAGCTATTGCACTTTTGTTATCCTCTCCTAAGAACACCCTCCTTTGGTCTCACTGTGTGAATGCTTAGAGACCTGTATAATTTTCATGTCCCAGTGTACTTTTTTTTTTTTACCATCCAGTGAGTTTACCTGTAAATGTATAGGCACAATCTAAGTATAACAAACGAGGGAAACTATGTAACCTATGTTTCTTTAGATCAAGCTTACTTTGCTTAATATAATTTTTTCCAAATCTTTCCTTTTCTTTTTTTTTTGGGTCCAGTCGTGGGGCCTGAACTCTGGGCCTGGGCCCTGTCCCTCAGCTCTTCAGCTCAAGGCTAGCGCTCTACCACTTGAGCCATAGTGCCACTTCCGGCTTTTTTCTTATGTGGTGCTGAGGAATCAAACCCAGGGCCTCATGCATGCAAGGCAAGCGCTCTACCACTGAGCCACTTTCCAAGCCCCAAACCTTTCCTTTCCTTTACAAACAGTACAATATCATTCTTTGTGATGGATGAGTAGAATTCCATTGTGTATATAACTGGTGGGTGGAGACAGGAGGGAAAAGCTGAGTGAGGGAAGAAGTGACATTGTTCAAAAAGAAATGTTCTCTTTATCTGATTTATGTAACTATAAACCCCTCTGTAAATCATCTTTACACTAACAATAAAGAAATTTAAAAACAACCACCCACAGTTGTAGGTGCACTACTGTTTTAATCCACAAGAGGGAGGTCGTACAAGTGAGTTACACCCATCAAAAATGTGAAAACACTCATATATGGAATGAACTAATAGTGTCAACAGGAATTAGGAGAAGTTAGGCACTGGTGATTCATGCCTGTAATCAGGAGGCTGCTGAAAACAGCAAGAACAGAGGAGAAAGAAAAAAATCAAGAGAGCCAGATACCAGGGGATCACACTTGTAATCCTAGCTACTCAGGAGGCTGAGATTTGAGGATCAAGTCTGAAGCCAGCCCCTGCAGGAAAATCTGTGAGACTCGATCTCATCACTGCACCAGCCTTGAGTGAAAAATCTAAGGGACAGCTCCCAGGCTCTGAGTTCAATCTCCAGTACTGAAATGCAAAGTTTAGAAAAAAAAGCAACAGACACTGATGGCTAGTCTTTGGAACAGCTTACTTACCATCATCCTTCAACTCTCTTCTGTCAAGAAGATCATTTACCTCTTAACCCATGGGTACGCCTCCTACAATAAAATATATAGACCTTTAGTGAGAATATCACCATAAAGTCATATGCATCCATACAATGATAGAAAGCTCAATCTTTCTCCTTTCATTAAACGCAAGAAAGTCAAATAAACTCACACCTTTCTATTGCCAGTTAGGAAATTATACAGGAGCTTTAAATACTCCACACTGAGCAGTACCTTAATACCCTCCAAAAAATGAAAATATAAGAAACGATTAATTACATGTAGCATAGGAGAACACAACCCTAAAGCACCAAGCTCCTTTTTAATAGAACAGAAACAGACAATTCTCATTTAAAATTCTGCATAAATTGGGCATTAATGGCTCATACCTGCAATCCTACTCAGGAGGCTGAGATCTGAGGATGGCTATTTAAAGCCCGCCCAAGCAGCAAAGTCCATGAGATTCTGATCTCCAATTTTAAAAAACTGCCAGCCTGGAGCTGGTAGCTCATGCCTATAATCCTACTCAGGAGGCTGAGATATGAGGATCACAGTTCAAAGCCAGCCCAGTCAGGAAAGTCCATGAGACTCTTTATCTCCAATGAACCACCAGATAACCAGAAGTGGCACTGTGGCTCAAGTGGTAGAGTGCTCGCCTTGAGCTGAAGAGCTCAGGGACAGTGTCCAAGCCCAGAGTTCAAGTCCTATGACCAACAACAACAAAAAAACCTACCAAAATAATAATAATAAAAGAGCCAGAAGATGGTAGCTTATGCCTGTAATCCTCAGAAGATTAAGATCTAAGGACTGTGGTTAGAAGCCAACCGGGACAGAAAAGTCCATGAGACTCTTTATCTCCAATAAACCACCAGAAAACCAGAAGTGGAGTTGTGGCTCAAAGTGGTAGAGTGCTAGCCTTGAACAAAAGAGCTCAGGGACAGCACACAAGCCCTGAGTTCAAGCACTAGGACCAATATATATATACGTATATATTATGTATACACATACATATTACGCATATAATATGTATATATTATACATAAATATATTTTAAGGAAATGAGAAAAGAACCCACCCACTAGATGGGTTCAGTGATTATGCAGAAAACAATCCCTTTTGGTCTTATCAGAAATCAATCAGCAAAACGGCTACCTACTAGCTTTCCTAAGAAAGTAAGTTGAAGGCTAGATACCAAACCTTTTAAGGCAGACATAAAATTTTATGGACCATCAGATGAATTCTCTAAGGAAAACAGAATGGAAATACACAAGAATCTATGAAAAGAGCATACGCTTGGAAGTCAGGCCCAAATGCACATCCCAAGATTGCCAATTACACAAGCTTTCCACGAGTTATGTCAAGCTTCAGCATTGGAGACAACAGCGACAATATTGGAGCAAAAATATCTACCTTGCTATTTTCAAAATCAAAGAAATGATTTGTGATGCAGATCAGCACTCAACTATGGATAAATGTACAGCACAGGAGCAGTAGTAGGCATTTGCTATTTTCCTGCTTTTCTAAAATATAATTGTACTGTAATTACAGTCTTAAAACAAAGTAAGGAATTGAATTTAAAAATACTTTGACTTTAGCCGGGCGCTGGTGGCTCACGCCTATGATCCAAGCTACTCAGGAAGCTGAGATCTAAGCATCGAGGTTCAAAGCCAGCCCAAGCAGGAAACTCCATGAGACTCTTATCTCCAATAAACCAGCAGAAAAAAGGAAATGGTGCTGTGGCTCAAGTGGTAGAGTGCTTGCCTTGAACTGAAGAGTTGAGAGACAGCGCCCAGGCCCAAAGTTCAAGCTCTACCACTTGAGCCACAGTGCCACTTCCGCCTTTTTCGGTCTATGTGATACTGAGGACTCGAACCCAAGGCTTCATGCATGCCAGGCAAGCACTCTACCTCTAAGCCATATTCCCAGCCCCTGTTTTTGTTTTTCGTTTTTAATTTTTATTTTTTGTCAGTTGTAGGGCTTGAACTCTGGGCCTAGGCCCTGTCTCTCAGCTCTTCAGTTTCAGGGCTAGTGCTCTACCACTTGAGCCACAGTGCTATTTCTGGTTTTCTGGTGGCTTACTGGAGATAAGAGTTCCATGGACTTTCCTGCTTGGGCTGGCTTTGAACTGTGATCCCCAGATCTCAGCCTCCTGAGTAGCTAGAATTACAGGCATGAGCCACTGGTACCCAGCTCCTGTTTTTGTTTATTGAGACAGGTTCTTTCTATGTAGGCCAGGTTGGCCTCAAACTCTAAATGCTACTGCCTCCATCCCTAGAAAGCAGGGGCTACAGGTGAAGTTCCATATACTTTCAAATTACAGATAAAACTGTTTGGAATTTAAATTTTTCAACACACTGTCACAAATTCCAGTTACTAAGCCTTTCTCCCCCCCAAGGCAAAAGAATGATTCAATACTAAATCATTATACTTTTTTTTAAAAAAAAAAAAAAAAAAAGCAAGAATGGAACTCCAACTCCATCCGGGATGTTTTCACTCATTGGCTACTGCTCTACCAATGAGCCAGGTCTCCAATCCTCCCATTCTACCAGATCAGTGATTTACTCCAAATCTTTTTGTCACCAGGTCTTGAGCTTTATTATTCAATTTGGCACTTTACAGATTATCTCTAACTCTAAACTGAAATCAGTCATGAAGCTGAGGCAGGAGTGTAACTTCAAGGGTACATGGGCTATACACAGCAAGACCTCTGGCTCAAAAAACAGAATCAGTTGACTCATTGTAATCCTCACAACTCAGAAAGCTGATCATGAGGATTGCAGTTTGAAGACAGCCTGGGCAAAGCTTGCAAAACCCCATTATGATTAAAAAAATAAAAACCAAAAAACCCTTGGTGTGGTGCTGTGCTTTAGCAAGTACAAGAGGCCAGAGTTGGGCTGGAAAAGTGGCCCAGTGGTAGAGCGCTTGCCTTGCATGCCTGAGGCCCTGAGTTCCATTCCTCAGCACCACATAAGCAGGAAAAAAAAGCCGGAAGTGGCACTGTGGCTCAAGTGGTAGAGCGCTAGCCTTGAGCTGAAGAGCTGAGGGACAACGCCCAGGCCCAGAATTCAGGCCCCACAACCGGACCCAAAAAAAAAAAAAAAAAGAGGCCAGAGTTCACAGTTCAGAACCAAAACTCCAAAGAAAAAACAAACAAAAAACTATCAAGGGGCTGGGAATGTGGCGTAGTGGTAGAGTACTTGCCTAGCATGCATGAAGCCCTGGGTTCAATTCCTCAGTACCACATAAAGACAGAAGAAGTTGGAAATAGCGCTGAGGCTCAAGTGGTAGAGTGCTATCCTTGAGCTCAGGAGCAGTACCCAGGCCCTGAGATCAAACCCCAGGACTGGCCAAAAAAAAAAAAAACCTATCTTTTTTTTGGCCAGTCCTGGGGCTAGATCTCTGGGCATGGGCACTGCTCCTGAGCTTCTTTTGCCCAAGGCAAGCACTCTACCACTTGAGCCACAGAAGCACTTCCAGCTACTTTGAGTAGTTTACTTGAGAGAAGACTCTCACTGAGCTTCTTGCCAGGACTGGCTTCAAACCGCAATCCTTAGATCTCAGCCTCCTGAGTAGCTAAGGATTACAGGCCTGAGCCACTGGAATCTGGCACAGACTGCTTCCTTTTAGTAAAAATTCAAGATACGTACTAGAATCTGGATACAGTATTGATAAAATAGGAATGCACATTTCACAATACTGTATTTATACATAAGAAAAGATTTTCTGAAGAGCAAACCACATGCAGACATAAATTAAAAGATCAATAGATGCTCGAGGGCCCGTGGCTCAAGCCTATAATCCTAGCTACTCAGGAAGCTGAGAACTGAGGATCACAGTTTGAAGCCAGCCCAAGAGAAAAGTCTATGAAACTCTGATCTCCAATTAACCACAAAAAGACAGAAGTGAAGCTGTGGCTCAAGTTGTAAAACACCAGCTTTGAGTGAAAAGGAGACAGCACCCAAGCCCTAAGTTCAAATCCCCGAACCAGCACTAGATGGAGGTGGGGGAGAGGAACAAGCGCATATTATCAAACTAAAATAGCATTACTGCTGGGTGCTGGTGGCTCACATCACTCCCATGTGTGATTGCAGCTAATCAGGAAAATGAGATCTGAGGATCATGGTTCAAAGCCAGTCCAGGCAGAAAGGCCATGAAACACTTGTCTCCAATTAACCACTAAAAAGCCAGAAGTGGAGGTGTGGCTCAAATGGTAGTCACTTACCAGCCTTGACCAAAAAAAAAACCAAGTGAGGGTTGAGGCTCTGAGCCCATTTCAGACTGACTGAGCGCACGCACACAACTATACACATACACAACTACACAGAGAATTTTTTTAATGCGGCTCAAGAAAGTGAAGAAGGAAAGGACCAAGTATTTGCTAAGGGCTTCCTAGGGGCCGGAAGCTGTGCTGTATACATGCTGTACAGACACCTCATTAATTACTATGAAAAAATTTGAGGTTGGCTATTATCCCTATTTTACCGATGGGCTTGGGACAGGCAAGTAGTACAAATGGGAATCTAACTCAAAACCTGCCGCCTTCAAACCATCAGTCACATCACACCTTCTCCCACAAAGATAATTTTCAAGTCACATGAAAACTGACTCTGGCCAGATGCCTGTGACACATGCCTGTAATCCTAGCTACTTGGTAGGCTGAGAAATCTAGAGATCAAGGTTGGAAGACAAAAAGGTCCATGAAACTTGTATGTCCAATTAACCATTTAAAAAGCTGGAAGTGTAACTGAGTGCCAGTGGTTCACGCCTCTAATCCTAACTACTCAGGAGGCTGAGATCTGAGGATAGCGGTTCTAAACCAGCCAGGGCAGAAAAGTCCCTGTGAGACTCTTACCTCCAATTAACCACTCAAGAAATGGAAATGGAGCTGTGGCTCAAGTGGTAGTGAGCTACTTACTCTTGAGCACAAAGAGACTCAGGAACACTCAGGCCCTAAGTTGAAGTTCCCCACAAGAAAAAAAAAAAAAAGCTCAAAGTGGAGCTGTGGTTCAAGGTAGAGCACTAATCTTGAGGGGAGAAGAAAGCTCAGAAAAAACA